GCCGCGGCCGCGGCTGCGGCTGCGGGCTGCGGCGCGGCTGGGAGGGGGAAACTATCGCGAATTTTTCGCGGTGGTTTTCTTCTCTCGGCTGCGGCTGCGGCCGCGGCTGGGAGGGGGAGCGAATTTTTCGCGGTGGTTTTTCTTCTTCCAGCCGCGCCGCCGCGGCTGCGGCTGCGGCTGCGGCCGCGGTTGGGAGGGGGAAACTATCGCGAATTTTTCGCGGTGGTTCTCTTCTTCCAGCCGCGGCGGCGGCCGCGGCTGCGGCTCTGGCCGCGGCTGGAAGGGGGAAACTATTGCGATTTTTTCGCGGTGGTTTTCCTCTTCCAGCCGCGGCCGCGGCCGCGGCTGCGGCTGCGGCTGCGGCTGGGGCTGGGAGGGGGGAAACTGTTGCGAATTTTTCGCGGTGGTTTTCTTCTTCCAGCCTCAGCCGCGGCCGCGGCTGCGGCTGCGGCTGCGGCTGCGGCTGGGAGGGGGGGAACTGTCGCGAATTTTTCGCGGTGGTTTTCTTCTTCCAACCGCTGCCGCGGCCACGGCTGCGGCTCCGGCTGTCGCTGCGGCCGCGGCTGGGAGGGGGGAAACTGTTGCGAATTTTTCGCGGTGGTTTTTTTCTTCCAGCCGTGGCCGCGGCCGCGGCTGCGGCTCCGGCTGCGGCCGCGGTTGGGGGGCGGCGGGGGGGCACCGGGAGAGAGCAGAAGGGCAGGGCAAGCAGAGGAGGGGCCGGCCAGCAGGGAGCAGAAAGGAGCAGCAGCGGCGAGGGAGTGGGAGGGACGACGACGACGACGACGGAGGCGCGAGGGGCCGGCGGGGGGGCACCGGGAGAGCGCAGCAGGGCAAGGCAAGCAGAGGGGGGCCGGCCAGCAGGGAGCAGAAAAGGGCAGCAGCGGCGAGGGAGCGGGAGGGACGACGACGACGACGACGACGACGACGACGACGACGACGACGACGACGACGACGACGACGACGACGACGACGACGACGACGACGACGACGACGACGACGACGACGACGACGACGACGACGACGACGACGACGAACGACGGACGACGCGACGACGACGACGACGACGACGACGACGACGACGACGACGACGACGACGACGACGACGACGACGACGACGACGACGACGACGACGACGACGACGACGACGACGACGACGACGACGACGACGACGACGACGACGACGACGACGACGACGACGACGACGACGACGAGGGGGGGGGGCCGCCGCCGCCGCGCAGCCTCCACAGGCGCTCCTCCTTCTCTTCCTTTAGGCTCAAGGAGCCTTGAGCTTCTAGCGCGGCCCGGGGGTCTGCAGTCGTTCCGCAGGGAGCGGCGGCGGGCTCTGGGGCCTACCCTCGGGGCTAACCCGAGGGAGATCTGCTGTCTCACAGGAGATGGCGGGGCACCTGGTGAAAGCCCAGGACCTGCTGCTGCCTCCGGGTGGCGGTGGGGGAGCTGGTGCAAGCCCAGCAGAGTCGTGCGTCCCTGCGCGGGCTGCGGCGCGTCCGGTGGAATCCCGCGACCTCCTGTTGCTTCCTCCGGGAGGCGGCGGGGGAGCTGGTGAAAGTCCAGCAGAGCTGTGGCTCCCTCTGGGGACTGCGGCGTGCCCGGTGAGAGCCCGGGAACCTCTCTCTTCAAGACCTGGGCTCTCCTGCCCGGGCCGCCCTTCGGGGTGTGCCTCAGAGCAATCTGAGGAATCGCTGGTGCCTGCAGAAGCTTTCGAGCACGCTGCGGGGGAGGGCTCGGCCGCGTACGCGGTTGTGCTCTCGAGCGATCGAGAGAAATGCTGGGTTGATGCCGGCCGGCTCTCCCTCCGCGGGCGCGATGCGCGGACACCCCTGGGCTAACCGCGCCGGGGTTCACCGACACTTCACTGCAGTCGCTCGGGAGTCTCCGGTCTCCGAGAGAGATAGTAGTGAAGGGGACCTCGATCCTACCGAGGCTAAACAAAGGACCTATGCAGCGGGCGCTCGGGAGTCTCCTCTCCCTTGGCAGCTAGCTGTTGCGGAAGCCCCAGCTGCGGCTGGGCCCCTGGTCGCGCCGCGCTGTGCGGCCTGGGAAAGTCCCGCGAAAGCGGGCCCTGGTTCCCCTCCAGGTGGGCCTTGTGCCAGGGGGGCCCGGTGGTTCATCGCATCGGGTTACGCTGAAGGAAACGAAGGTTTGGAGAGAATGTCTGTATGTGCGGAAGCCTGGTGTGGCGGTGGCGCGGCGGGCGCGGCGGGCGGACGCGACTGCGGTCTGCGCTGGGAGGACGAAGCGCTCGCGAAATTTTCGCGGGCGCTTTCGGCGCCAGCGCGGGCTGTGCGGCGCGGGGAGGAGGCCTCTGGGTCAGTGCGCTGGCAGGGGGAAACTATCGCGATTTTTTCGCGACGGTTTTCTGCTTCGGCGTGTGGCCTGTTGGGCCGACCGGGCGTTTCGGGAATGGCGCCCTCGGAGGGGGAAACGCTCGCGGATTTTTCCCGAGGGTCCTCTGCTTCGGGGGCCGCTCGGTGCGGATGTGTCTCTTCGGAGGCAGCGCGCTGGGAGGGGGAAACTACCGCGAATTTTCCGCGACAGTTTCCCGATTCTGCGCGTGCGGCGGGCGCGGTGGGCGGACGCGACTGCGGTCTGCGCTGGGAGGGCGAAATGCCCGCGAAATTTTCGCGGGCGCTTTCGGCGCCAGCGCGGGCAGTGCGGCGCGGGGAGGAGGCCTCTGGGTCAGTGCGCTGGGAGGGGGAAACTATCGCGAATTTTTCGCGACGGTTTCCTGCTCGGGCGTGTGGCCTGCTGGGCGGAGCGGGCGTTTCGGGAATGGCGCCCTCGGAGGGGGAAACGCTCGCGGATTTTTCCCGAGGGTCTTCTGCTCCGGGGGCCGCTCGGTGCGGATCGGATGTGTCTCTTCGGAGGCAGCGCGCTGGGAGGGGGAAACTATCGCGAATTTTGCAGGACAGTTTCCCGAGTCTGCGCGTGCGGCGGGCGCGGTGGGCGGCCGTCATTGCGCTCCGCGTTCGGAGCAGGAAACGCTCGCGAAATTTTCGGCCGTCTTCGGCTCCGGCGCGGGCTGTGCGCTGCGGAGAGGAGGCTACTGGGTCAGGGCGCTGGGAGGGAGAGTTTCTTTTGGACTTTTCGCGGGAGGTTCCGGCTGCGTCACGGGCTTCGGCTCCGTTCTTGCCGGGCGGGATCGCGCGGGCCTCGGATTCCGTCGCTGTGCCCGTCCAAGCGCGGCTCGCTGATCATACGCCGTGGGAAAGCAGTGATGACCGTGAATTTATAGAGCTTTTCGACGCGGGGGAACTTGATGCTTCTGCCGCCAGCGACTGTGACGTCGACGACGAGAACGACGCTGACGACGATTGGATTGGAGCCGACGACGTCGTCTGGTCAGCCCCGGTCCCGGCTTCCGCTTTGGCACTGGCGTTGGCTTCGGCATCTGTCGCGGCCGTGGCCTCGGTCCGGGCTCCGTCTGTGCGGGGCGCGGAGCGCGCCCCGCCGCTGGGGGGATCTGTTGAGTGGGAGGACCGGCTGCGTGAGAGCTTGCGCGCAGAGCACGACGTGATCCGGGAGGAAGTCGTGGATGATGCCGCCTGGGAGGCAGCGCAGCGCGAGCAGAAAGCGCATCGCAAGGCGTGCCGCGCGTCGCTTCGGAGGTCGCGCTGTGCGCGGCGGGAGGCGGAGTGGGCGCGGCGGACGGAGGCGGCGGCGGCGCGTAACGAAGAGATGGCGGTCCGTGTCCCGCTTCCGGTCGTGCCGCGCCCGCTTCCGCGCGATGAGTCGCCGCGTGCGCGCGATGAGTCGCCGCGGCGTGCCCGGGTGTCCCGCGCGGCGCTGGGGGGGCGGAGACTCGCGCGACTGCAGCAGTTTCTGAATGCCCGAGCGGCGCGGGCTGTTGATTCCGTGTCCACCCCGCGCGTGGCGCTGCCGTCTCTGGAAGCGCGTGTGTCTGCGCTGTCAGTCGGGGAGGTTGCGCTGATTGCAGCTTCAGTTTTCGCTGCGCTGGGTCTGTTCCCGCCAAGGCCACAAGTTCTGTCGGGTGGCCGCGCTGTGACGCGCGCGATGGCGCGCGCGCGGATGTGGAAAGAGAGAGAGAGAGAGAGAGAGAGACAGTTTCTGGCGCGACGTGGACGCTCCGTCCGATGCGGCGCCGTCTGCCGCGAAGGTTCGGGTCGCCAAGTGGTTTTACTGTGGCCTGCGTGGGCTCTTCGCGCGGAGGTGCGGGGGGCGGCGCGTGCGCGCGCAGGTTCTCCCCCGGCATTGGCATCGGCGCTGCCATGGCCAGGGCGGGCCGGGGCGCGGACGAGCGCGCGGGGGACGCTGCCTGGAGGGCGCAGAGGGCGGGGCAGTGCGTTGGCGATGCGGCTCTGCGCGTGGCCTGTGTCTTCGCCGCGCTGGGCGGTGTGTCCTGTGATGTGTGTTCCCGCGTGGGACGACTCGGTGCTGCTGTGTGGTCTGGCGCGTCCCGCGCGTGGTGGCGGCGCCTTCGACGTGGCGTCGCGTCGGGGCGACTCGGAGTTGTTGATGCGGGAGATCGCCTGGGGCCGTGGCGGAGTAAGTGTCTGCAATTGAGTGTCGCTCGGTGTGGGAGTGCTGGCACGCGCGCGCAGGCGGAGTGCTTCTTCGAGTTGCAGTGCGCTAATGATTCGGGAGCTGGGGCGTGCGGTGACGCGGCGGAGAAGGCGAACTTTGCTATCGTGCAGGATTGGCTGGAGGCGCGCCGTTCGAGGATGCGAGTTTCATGAGGCGGAGAGTGCAGATGGTTTACTGCGTGGGGAGTGTTCCAGCGCTTGGTTTTTGGGTTCCGCGGGGGGGGCCGAGATCGGCAGCGTTGTGTGGTACCCAGAGGGCCATGTCGCGACGGTCGTTGATGTGGACGGTCGCTTGGCCGCTGGCGTATCTCTCGGAGACTCGGAGACGCAGGCGCCGCGCTGTGGCTGCGGTCGATTGCAGGCGCGCCGAAGAGGAGTGCGCCGAAAAAGAAGGCCGCCGCGAAAAGCCAGCGAGGTGTGCATCTCCGCGGTGCGCAGAACCCGAACGTCATGGCGGGCGTTGCCGCGCGGGAGCGACGCGCGACCGGTGAGAATGGGGCGCCGTCGTCGTCTGGCGAGGACATGCCAGTCATCCTGGGAGTCACCGTCGACGATGCCGATTCGGGCGATGCCGCGGGGGCGTCCGTGCTTCAGCTGCGGTCGCCACGCGCGGCCGTGCGTCTGGGGACGAGAGCGATTCGGGTGAGGACATGCCGATGCTTCCAGGGGTTACGGTGGAAGAGGATGGCGCGGGGGCTGCTCGGGCGCGATCGGACGCCGTCGCACCGCAGGCAGCGGCTGCGAGGCGCGCTCTTCGGGGCGCGGCTTCGGCCGCGGCGCCGCCGAGCGATTCTGATGGCGAGGAGATGCCTGTCATCCCTGGAGTGACCGTGGACGTCGGGGGTGCTGACGATGGTGCAAGCGATGGCAGCGGGCCGGCCGCGCGTCCGCGCGGTGCCCGGAGAGCGCGCCGGAAGCGCGGGGCCGCGGACGGGGCGCTTGCGTCCGAGGCAGAGTCCTGGCATTTCCAGCCGGATTACGTGGACGAGGACCGCTGCAAAGGGCTGACGTGGGAGGGGGGGCCGGGGGCGAGAGCAGTGCCGGTTTCGGCCGAAGACGGGGAGCGACGTGTGCGGGAAGTGTGCTCGATATGGGTGCCCGCACGGGCGCGTCAGGGGCCCGATTCCTGCAGGCGCGTTGGATAAGTTCAAGGAGTTCGCGCTCAAGGCGAACAAGCCATCTAAGCAGTGGTACGCGCTGCACGCGATGTGGGACGTGCCGTCGAAGATGAAGCCTGAGCGGAAGTCCTTGTGTGAGGTGGGCGAGCACGGGCGATCTGTGTTAACGAACAGTGAGTACGAGCAGTGCCTCAAGCAAGTCCATGACAATCTCAGAACGAATAAGGACAAAGGCCGTTCTGGCTTCGTATACGAGAAGGGGGCAGGGGTGCGCACACTGCAGGATTGCTGCGGGGAGGGAACTACTCGGTTTCGATCGGAGAGGGAGTCCTACAATGGGCAGCAGGGGGGGAAGGTGTTCATGTGGTACAGCAGGGCGGTCTTCAACAAGTACCTGGGGCAGCTGCAAGCTTCCGAAATGGAATGTAGCGAGAAGGACTGCGTGGAGGCGTTGCGGTTGACCAGCGAGGAGATCCAGCGGTACCCAATGAAGCAGCAGTATCTGAAGCCGTACGCAGGCCCGCAGTGCTTTCCGCACATTGATCCGCGTTCGAAGGAGAACAGGCTGCACGCGAACGAGAAAATGGGGCATGCGCCCGGAGAGGATCCGCAGGGGGGCGGCGACGGCGGCGCCGGGCCCGAGGCGTGCGGGGGAGCAGACGACGGGGCGTCGCACTTGTTCTGTATGCGGAATTGGGCGCAGTGCGATCGGTGCCACTGCTGGCGCCTGCTCCTGCCTGCCTGCGCTGCGCGCGCGTGGGGATGAGTACTACAGGGTTCGCGACACCGACTTGGATTGGGGGGAGTGGTTGAGGGGGGCGGCGCATCGGTGTGCGGCGGCGGCTGGTGCGTCGAGAGACCAGGACGCTGCGCTCGGTGGGGGGAGCGGCGACGCCGTGGAGGGTGCGATGCAGCAGGGCGGCGGCGCGGGCGAGGGCGGGGGTGGGGGGGGGGGTGCGCGGCGGCGCTCGGAAGCGGCGCCTGGGGCGGAAGACGTCCGAGGCGGAGGCTGCCGAGCCCGCCGCGGTGCGCGGCGGGGCGCGGAAGCGGCGGCTGGGGCGCAAGACGTCCGAGGCAGAGGCTGCTGGGGGCGATGCGGGGCGCGAGGCCGCGGGGGCCGGGCGCGCGGGGGGGGCGCCGCGGAGGTGGCGGCGGCGCGGGAGCGGCGGCTGGGGCGCAAGACGTCCGAGGCAGAGGCCGCTGAGAGCGGTGCGGGGCGCAGGGGCGCGGAGGAGGGGCGAGCTGGCGAGGGGGGCGCGGAGGTGCCGGAGGCGCGCCGGGGGCGCCGGAGACTCGAGCGCAAGACGTCCGCCGAAGAATGGGCCGAAGCGGGTGGCGCGGTCCGCGGAGCCGTGGATGAGGAGGGCGGTGGTGACGAGGCTTGCGGCGGCATGGCGGAGTTATCGGCCTAGGATTGCGACGACGAGCGTTCTGCGTCAGATCATGAGTGCGCCTCGGAAGAAGACGCGGCGCCGCTGCCGCGCGAGGTGCGCAGCGCGCTCGATGCAGAGCGGGTGCGTTTCGCCGGTGCTGGACCGCCGACGGAGGCAGATCTGGCGGGGGCGCGAGCGGCCGAGGAGGGGCGCGGGAGCGCGCCGCGCCGCGCGGGATTGTTGCGAACTGGAGGTGGGGATGCGCGGGCGTGGGCAGTTGCGTCCGTGCCCCGCCTCAAGGACAAGCGGATGGTGGCACTGGTCGGTGCCGTCCGCGAGTACCTGGTGTCGTGTCGTCAGTGCGACCGGGGTAGTTTTCGGATCCAGGGGTCGGACGGCGACAAGTTGTGGGGTGCGCTGATGGAGCCGGGGCGGCCAGGGCGGTTCGGGCACGCGCTGCTGGAGATGGAGGATCGCGCGCGCGGTCGTGACCCGAGCGCGGAGCGTTCGTCGTGGGAGGCGATAGCCGTGGAGGAGGATTTTCGTCGTCGCTGGAAGTGGCCCCGAGTGCGTTTCGAGTGTAGAATGTTGCAGACGCCGGTCGTGTCCGAGAGCGGCGGGACGCAGTGGCGGGCGGTGCGGTGCTGCGATGAGCCAGACGGGGGCGATGCGGACGATTTCCAGGCTCTGTGGTCGCGCGAGTCGCGGGTCGCGGCCGGGTTCGCAGCGAACGTGGTTCGGGATGACGACGTGGTCGTGTTGCCTGTGGAGCGGCCTGCCGGGCGGACGGAGCCCGCGCACCTGGCGGGGGCGTGGTGGCGGGGCCTGGGCCCGCGGGAGCGCAGAGCAGAGGAGGGGGAGAATCCCGGGCGCGTCTGGGTGGGCCAGCTGCAGGAGGACGCCGGCGTGGCGGGGCTACTGCCCGAGTGCGGCGCGGGCGAGCGCACTGCGAAAGAGGGGCTCGACGTGCTGCGTCGTGCCGGTCAGGAAGCGCGGGGGGCGGGTCGCGCGGGTCGTGGCCGGGGGCGCCGAGCGAAGAAGCGCGGTCGGTACTGGAATCACTTGAGGGTTGTGCTCCGAAGTCGGTGGGCCCCGGGCGACCGCGCGCGCCCAGGGAAGCGGGAAGTGTTCGTGTTTGCAGGGGCGCCAGAGGCTGGCCACTGGGAGTTCCGACCGCAGGCGGAGTTGCGCGATGTGTTTGGAATCGCGGGAGCGTTGACGCCCAAACTGAATCACCGAGGCCGTGTCGAGGCAGGGGACGTTCACCAGAGGTGCATGCTGCTGGCGCTGAAGACGGTGCCGCAGCGCGTGGCGAAGTATGACGTGCAGCTGCGCGATGCGTCCGTGCGGGCCGTGCAGGCGGCGCAGGCGATCCTGGCGCGCATGGTGAAGTTCACGTGCCACGAGTGCCAGGAGCGGTTCCCGGCGTTCCACCCTGCCTTCGAGCCGCCGGACCAGCTCGCGGATGAGACGCTGCTGCTGCGTCGCGGCGGGGACGGGCTGGCCGCGTGCAGCACGGAGGTGGCCGAGTGGGTCGAGGTGCCGCCGCGCGACCCGCCGGACGGCTTCGCTCTGGAGTGCAGGGGCGTGTGTATGCGGTGCAGGCAGGACCTGGACAAGCAGGCCGCGGCCGCGGCCACGGAGGACGACCTGTATCAGGTGGTGGGTCTCCGCACCGCGCAGAACCACATGGACCCGTGCTTCCGCTTCCCGTCCGATGACCTGCGCGAGCTGTTCGACCAGGCTACGCTCACGGAGAGCCTCCTCATTGCCCTGGACCACATGCAGGTGCACCTGGCCACGGTGTCCTGGACGGGGCTGCGCAAGTTCCGCAAGAACATCATCTCGTTCCCGCAGGACGTGGCAGGGTTCTCGCGGCGCCACGAGCTCGTGAAGGGGTTCCGTGTGGGGGGCCGCGTGAACTCGGCGCGCGGGCCCGGCGAGCGCCCCGACGACCCGCGCCGCTCCGAGCGCATGGCCGCGGGCTGCACGGACGAGGAGCGGCAGCGCTTCGGCGTGGACCTGCACGGGCGCCTGGTCTTCCCAGGGCGCGTCGTGGAGGTGCTTGTCAGCGGGGACGTGATCATCGAGTACGATCATGGAGGCAGGGGGAGGGAGCTCCAGGAGCACGTGGAGCCGCGGGTGGTGCTGCCCTGGCACCCCCGGAAAGTGCCCTTCAGCTTGATGTTGCGGCGGAATGTAGGGTTCAGGAAGGAGGTCGTGGAGGGCCTGCACGTGCGCTGGCGCTACTGCGGGCACGTGCTCCGGGCGTTGTGTGCGTTTGCGGGCACGTATGGGCCCTGGCGCGTGGGGGGTGCTGCGGACGAGCCCATGCGATGTGTCGTTGTTCGAATGTTATTGGAAGTGCGCTGTGTACCGCGGGAAGCTGAGGCGCGGGAACCCTGCGGTGTGTCTGCAGGTGACCCCTGGCTATAGCGCGGAGTGCGCGAACGTGCAGCACGCCTGCCACGAGGCGTACGCGCGGGCGAACGTCATCGCGCACTGGCGGCACATGGCGACCGCGGACCGCAAGGCCATGATCGAACAGGAGATGCTGAGGGACGTCCGGCCGGTGCCGGCGGCTTGCATTGGGGCCACGGAGTTCGTTCAGCCTTTGGCGGGCGGTGCTGGCCAGGATGCTGGAAGCGAGCGGTTCCTAGGCGTGCAGGATCTCTGGCTCAAGTCGGGGGGAGGGCCTGGGGGGTGCAGAGCGATCAGTATTGGGGGCATCTGATGATGGAGATGCTCACTGACCCCATGCTTCGCCAGTGGGTTCCGGCGTGGGTCGTGGAGCAGTACGAGCGCGCGAACCCGTTCTACAAGGAAGTGCTCGGCGCCATCCTGGAGGACGGGGTCGCTGGCAACCGGGAGCTGCTGCGCCAGACGCGACGCGGAATGGTGACGCGAGGCGCGGCCGGGGGAGGGCGCTGAGTCTGCTGCGGCCGCGGGGGAGGTGTCCGAGTGGGAGCGCCGCCCAGCCGATGCGCGCGTCAGGCGCGGCAGGCCCTGCTGTGCAGGCGGCGGACGTGCGCGTCGGGGATTTTGCGGGCGATGGGGTGCGCGGCAGGGTCCGGGTGAACCCCAGGGACTTCAATTGGTTGAACGAGG